TTCCGTTAAAATTAATCTTAAATAGTTATAACCACGGAAAACGACCGATAACCATGCCGAGGACAAAACAAATCAACGGCAAAATGACTCGCAACCATCGTAGTGGGGCATACGATCTCATGACGCAACTAAGAATTCTGGAATTTTGGAATGTTTTTCATTCGTTATTGCTCTTTATAAGGATTGGAGAAAGAAAAAAAATGGAAAGAAAAAAAATGAGAAAAAAGTCGGAGGCAATTTTTTTAGGAATCTATCTATCTATATATTATACTAAAAGACAAGCGTCTCAATGTGAGGATGACAAATGTCACTCCCTCATTGGCTTATCTTAAGTATTAAATATATCTATATAATTACTATTTACATATTCAAGCATAGTTATTTTTGTTAAACTTCAAACAATAAAAGCAAGTTTCTATCTATGCATAAGATTTTCATGATTTCCTAACATAAATATTGATTTAATTTTTTTATAATAAATATATACTTTCCAATACTACAAATAATCCATAAAGTCTTTCCAATCTTTATTTATAGTCAAGTTAAAGAATAATAACTAATTTGAAGCAATATGATTAAAGTGGCATAATTAAGGAAACAAATATTTCGTATTTTGAAAGGCTAATAATTTTTTTTATGAAAATTAAATAAAATCGATAAGAATTTAGTTTGACGTCAATTATGAAATACATACAAACATTTAAAAAAAATCAGATGTACAATAAAATATTGTGCACCTATTATAAAAGCTACCCTGTAATGAATGAAAGTTATTTATGCTTTATTGATAAAAGTTACCCAAAATAGTCTACAAATTATCCTAAATTCAATTCAAGTAATCGGATGAATACAAAAGTTTTTGATAAAGATACAAAATAGTGTAAAAATTACTTTTATCGTTTGTTATGCTCCTTGACAAATACTGAATGCTGAGCCGAAATGTTGTCTTGGAAAAAATACATAATCTTGAACATAAATTTAATTTTAATCGGCCTTTCATTTTCTATACAATGTCTTTTACAATGACCTTTTGTTTTTCTTGTAAAAAAAAAAAAAAAGAACCAATAACCAATAACCAATCAAAACAAGAAGAATAAAAGTTAAATTGAATCAGACATTTGACGGAAAAGGGATAGATATAAAATGTATTATAACTATTACTCGTGTTTTAAATTGTAATATTCGTATTAACAATGCTATTACTTATGAATTTTTTTTAGAAAAACTAACATTTTGATTTAAAAATCGTGCATTGCTCATGTACTATACTAGATATACAACAATCATGTGCAATAATTTATGTTGTTTTATACATAATAATACTTTTGATTATAATAGTATGTGTATATAATATAATATTTTTTATAATATAAAAGTTATATGTATATAATATAATATTTTATAACACGTGTCCTCCATACAAAGTGTTTGGTTGTTGGTGTAGTGGTGATTGAGACTACACTTGGTAGGGAGGACCTGTGTTCGCTCCCCTGCAACAACAATTGGAAGGGGAGTGGAACCTAATAGCCTAGAATAGATCCTCAAATCTGGATTAGCCCAAAGGGTGAATCGGATAGAACACCCAAAACCTAATGCATATATGACGGGAATTAACTTATCCTTTATCTATCTTATACAAAACTCCAAAGTCTAAATTTTTTTTTTTTAAATATAATAATAACATTTGTAAATTTTTGTTAATATGAAAGATATAAACCTATCAAAATGTATATATAGTTAAATTGTTTAATAACTTATATCAAATGTGTAGTTTTATTAAAATTATTTGCATGTAATCATTAAATGTGTTGGATGTTGTGTAGCTATGCAATGTCCAAAACTTTAGTTGAGCGACTTTGATTTAGTGATTGTATGGTAAAAAGATATTGACTTCGATCTTGAAACCTAATAGTCTAATAAATTCTAAATAGAAAAATTAAAACAAAAGGAAATGAAAATAGTAAATGGCTTTAAATATTGAAATAAACATAACCTTTTAAATCAATTTAGCGAATTCAAGAGACAATTTTAAGGCTTTTAAAATTAAATGGGGAAAAATATATGTAAAAAGAACATTTTTAGATATATAAATATCCATGCACTATTATAAGAGTTTTGTTAACCATTTTATAATTAAGGTAGGGATAAATCTTAGTAATATATACTCCGTATATTTTATTTATATAAAATTATCAGTATCCATACCTATATACAAAGTATTTGTGTTGTATACTATATTTAATCAGTTGTTGGTTATATATATGACTATTATATAATATATAGTTTTTGGCACAATGCTTAACTTAGGAAAATATATGTTCTGGTAGGTCAAATATAAAGTTATTATTGTGTCTATAGATTTAATGAGTGCGACGGGTAAATAAAACATGTATATATTAGATTGATTGTAGCTACTGATGCGGATGGTATGATAAGAAAATTTTAGTTTTTTCTCAACGGGAGATATAAATAAATTAGTTCACTTCTTATATAGCTATGTGGAGCATTATTCAATTATCTTTCAATTAATAAAATAACATTATAAAAAATTAAAAGAAATTCAAATAACATAAAATACTATTCAAATAGCGTTCCTTTAATTTTTTTTATTGACCATTAGTAACCAAGTCCTTTAATAGTAAATGAATTACCTTTGTTTTTATTTTTATTTTTCCCTACGGGTTTAATAGTTTGATTTATAAACCGTGCATCGCACGGGCACTATGCTAGTTATATACTAAATTAAATTAGGTAGTTGAAAGGTTATGGTAAATTAGAAATTCAACTTTAAAATTTTAGAAATAAGGTTTGAAATTTAAATGAAAAGAGGGATGACCCACATAATTAAAAAAAAAAAAATACCCTTTCCACCAATGGGAGCTTTGTGTACAATATTCTCTGGTACATTATGTGTACCATTAGTCCCTCCCATAACATAATAATGTGAGTGGATGAATAATTTATTATGCTAAAAGTAACGTGGGGACCATGAAAGTGAAAAGTATATGAGAGAGAGAGAGTAGCGGGGACCATGAGAGAGATAAATGATAAATTAATTTGAGTGAAATTGAAAGTAAGAGAGATAAATAATAATATATGGTATAAAGTTACTATATATAGACGTAATGCAAATAAAAAACAACGAACATAAAAGGAAAGTGATGTAAATAGATTTTTTTAAAAAAAGGAATGAGTAATAAAATTATTACAATTTTTTTCTTTTTTTAAATCCCAACCCCCACCCACCTAACCATTAGCCTTGCCTCCCCTAGCAAGCAAGCCCCGGCTGGCAGCACCCCCAACCCCCGCCCACTCCTCTTTTCTTTTCCCCCATCGCACGCCCCAATCTAACCACCTCTACCCAAAACCACCTCGAAAAATCAACCTCTCCCTAAATCGACCACCCTCTCCTATTTTCCGCCCCCTAAACCCTAAGCCCCACCCAAAACTACTTAGAAACCATTAAACAACCTAGAAATCGGTTTGGGTGGTTGGTTTTTAGGTGGTTTGAGTGGGTTTTAGGGTTTGGGGGGCCGAAAACAGGGGAGAAGGGTCGTGAATCAGGGAGGGGGCCTTTTCGGGGTGGTTCAAGGTAAGGGTGGTGGGTCGGGGGGAAATGGGAGGAGAGGATATTTGTTGTGGGGTAAGGGGAAAGAGGTTGGGTACAACCAGCAGTAGGTGGGGAGGCTTTTGCAGGGTTAGGGAGGCTGGAGTTTTTTTTTTTTTTTTTTTGGACAGGAAGAAAAATATTATCATTAATAAATCGGCATATGACATCTACAATAATAATAAAGATTTGTAAACCACAGATCTAGAGAAAATAACATAACTTTTAAAATCAAAATCATAACTAATTTGCATATCGGGCATAACTCACACTCCACCGCTTCAAACTTGACGCGAGCAATGATTTTCGACGTCTTTGCATCTTCCCAAGTAGAGACCTTCGCAATCTGCGCTGATGTTTTGATGGTAGAGTTGATGACGAGTCCTAAACTCATATGAATCCAAAACACCTTCTCAATTATTATTAAAATCCTAAAAATAAAATTCTCATCCATAGATGCGATTCAAAATCCCAAAAAATTAGGAAAAACCCAAAAAAATTGGGATAGACTCTCACAAACGGAGAGAACAAAACAAAGCAAAATAAATCAAATAATAAAAAAACGAATAAAATACAAGAAAGAGGGTCGGGAATAGTCTAATTTTTATTTCCGTTCTAACGACCAAAAAATTTAAAAATACTAAAAAGAGAGAAGGGAGATGAGAGAGAATGATACTCTTTGGCTTAGTGGAGTTGGGGAAGGGAGTTTGGTATTTTTTTTTCAATTATTTTGGTAATAATAAAACTATTAAAATAATTAACTAACTATAGTCAAAGATTCAATCCCAAGATCTCCTGAAATCGGGAGGGAAGTTCTAGCCACTTAAGCTACCCTCACTCTCAAATAATTATTATATTCGGTAATCAATAACATAATGTTATCAAGATAATTGTTTTTTTCCCCAATTTATCAAAGAGAAAAAGAGAAGTTAGGGGTTATGAAAGAGAACTTTCCTTAAAGTTACAATAAATTTATGTAAAGTTACCTTAACATGAAGTCTTACAATAACATTATTGTAAGCTCGTCTTATATCAGAGTTATTGTTTTTACTAATACGTCTAATGTACTGTTCTCTTTAGTTTATTTTCAATTCACTTCACTTTAGTTCAATTCAGTCCAGTTCAGCTTCAATCAGTTCATTCCAACTCAGTTAAGTTTATAATTTCCTTCTCGCATAAAATTATAAAATATTCAGTTTACTTCAGCTTAATTAAGTTTAGTTAATCAAAATAGACCCTAAAACTTGGGAAGATGAAGCAAGTAGTGCTGTAATAAAATATGGAGGGAGTATTCCGATAGTTTATGTACGTGCAATAGAAAAATGACGCGTAATGGTTGCCGCTACAGTTTCAATCAAAAATGCTGAAACCAAAGTAAAGGTGTCCCCACACTTCTCCTACCAGTGGGTAGATCTGTTCTCTCTTTCTTGCATTTCATTCCTCTCCTCAATTTTGCATATAAATACTCACTTCTTCACCCCGCCCTTCTTACCTTTCTTCCTATTCTCCCGCATCTCTCTCTAGTCAACTATACTCTCTTATTACAGGTAATTTCTCTTCTTCTTTGATCTATAGCTTTTGTTTTCTTGCTTATTTTTCATTTTAAATGCACATTTTTAATCTGAAGCTTCATGGGTTTTCTTAATTTTGGAATATTTTGTTTTAATTTGACTTTGATTTGATCTGTTTTCGTTTTATTGCTTGTTATTGTTGGTTTGATTTAGTGTTGTGGATCTAGTATTGATTCATGCATTGGATGTATTAAAGTATTGCAAATTTATGGATGCTGACATTCTATTTAGATCTGTCATATGATATGATTTTGTATAATATAATGAATGAAATTCTGTTTTGAATCACAAATAAGGTACTCTTAGTTGATTTGCAATTTGGGTTCCGTTTATATTGAAGTAAATGTTGGATCTTGAATGTTATGTTATAAATCCATAATGTTGGAAATCTTAGAGTTATAGGTGTTTATTTGATTGATTTGTTTCCTTACACCCTGGTGCTTTTATTGGATCACAATTCAAATTTCAATGCTCAATTGAGCATTGGCATTGATCGGGCTTGACCGACATTGATGGATTTGATCTATTCTGATTCACTCACAATGATGCCCCTAATGCTGGTGGTACTTGTAGCTTACAATATTATGGAATGTTGTTGGTGTTTCATGGAATAAAGTATATGCTATTAATTAGTAGTGTCTGTTAATTAATGTATTAGGTGAGGTTTGTTTGATTATGTTGGTATATGACCGTTTGAGTCAGATGGCTTAGAGATCTGGTTGATCATTACTCTCTACCTGTGAAAATTGATAAATAAATTGGATCCATCGTGTTTATATTGTGAAACATGTAGTGATCATTGGTAATTTTTATTGATGAAAGAAAGTCTAAGTAAATCTGGAATTTAAGACTGTATTTTTTTCATATGGGGTATTTTTTGTATTGTCCTTTACATTCTGTGATTTTCATGCATGATTAATTTGTTCTGTTTTATTGCAGATAGTAAAAATGGTGAAGATTTGCTGTATTGGGGCTGGTTATGTGGGAGGCCCTACTATGGCCGTGATAGCACTCAAGTGCCCAAAGATCGAAGTTGTAGTGGTTGATATCTCTGTGTCTCGGATCACTGCATGGAACAGTGACCAGCTTCCGATCTATGAGCCAGGTCTAGAAGATGTAGTTAAGGAATGCCGTGGGAGGAACCTTTTCTTCAGCACTGATGTTGAAAAGCACGTTGCTGAGGCCGACATTGTTTTTGTCTCTGTCAATACCCCGACCAAAACCACAGGTCTTGGAGCAGGCAAAGCTGCTGATTTGACCTACTGGGAGAGTGCTGCCCGTATGATTGCTGATGTTTCTAAATCTGACAAAATCGTTGTTGAGAAATCAACTGTCCCTGTGAAAACTGCTGAGGCAATCGAAAAGATTCTGACACACAACAGCAAAGGGATCAAATACCAGATCCTCTCAAATCCCGAGTTCCTTGCTGAAGGTACTGCTATCCAGGACCTTTTTAACCCTGACAGAGTTCTCATTGGTGGTCGGGAAACCCCAGAGGGCCTGAAGGCAGTCCAGTCATTAAAGGAAGTGTATGCTCAATGGGTTCCTGAGGACCAGATCTTGACCACTAATCTTTGGTCTGCTGAGCTCTCAAAGCTTGCTGCCAACGCCTTCTTAGCACAGAGGATTTCATCTGTTAATGCAATGTCAGCACTCTGTGAGGCAACCGGTGCAGATGTTACCGAAGTAGCATATGCTGTTGGTAAGGACACTAGGATTGGCTCCAAGTTTTTGAACGCTAGTGTCGGTTTTGGTGGGTCTTGCTTCCAGAAAGACATTCTGAACTTGGTATACATTTGTGAGTGCAACGGCCTCCCTGAGGTAGCTGAGTACTGGAAACAGGTCATCAAGGTCAACGATTACCAGAAGACCCGTTTTGTAAACAGGGTTGTTGCCTCCATGTTCAACACTGTTTCAAACAAAAAGATTGCTGTTCTTGGATTTGCATTCAAGAAGGATACAGGTGATACTAGGGAGACACCTGCCATTGATGTGTGCAAGGGGTTGTTGGGAGACAAGGCAAGGTTGAGCATCTATGACCCGCAAGTAACAGAGGATCAGATTCAGCGTGATCTCACCATGAAAAAGTTTGACTGGGACCATCCCATTCACCTCCAACCCACAAGTCCGACGACTGTGAAGCAAGTCAGCGTGGTTTGGGATGCTTATGAGGCCACAAAAGATGCTCATGCTGTCTGCATTTTGACAGAATGGGATGAATTCAAGAAACTTGATTACAAGAGGATTTTTGACAACATGCAGAAGCCAGCTTTTGTGTTTGATGGAAGGAACATCGTGAATGCTGATGAGCTAAGGCAGATTGGGTTCATCGTGTACTCGATTGGTAAGCCTTTGGATCCCTGGCTGAAGGACATGCCTGCTGTGGCTTAGGTTTCGGTTAAGAGGTCTTTGCTGGGGTGCAGATTTGAGAGTTCATATCAGGATTCAATTTAGTTTCATTCATTCATATCTAGAGCTCTTCTAAGCTGTTGTACTTTTAATTTTCTTTTTTATATTGTTCGACGTACCCCAAAAAATGTTCATTAACCAGGAACACAACCAGCTTTGCAGACTTGGTTGCGTCCCTTTATTTTACCTTGAATTGTATTTTTGATGCTGCAGCCTTTTGATAGAAATATGTATCTCCAATTTATGGATTTTGTTGTAATTTGTATTCAGTTCAAAAATAATTAGATGTTCAAACTTGTTTTTATGGTTGAAGACTTGGATGAGTTTTGAGTGCAATGGTTTCACCAATGCAATGAGCTTATACCGGTTGATCGCAAGAAAAATAATGAAAATAAAAAAATAATGATAGACGAAGGAGAAATATTGCTTAATTGTAGATCTCAAATTCTCAATTGAACAGTTGTGACGTAGCATGAAGGCCATTGCTTCTGAAGTGTAATATGCCACCATCAACAAAGGTTCTGAAGTGTAATATGCCACCATCAACAAAGGTATCTAATGATGAACACCCCTAAGGTTGACAACTTGACACAACTGCCTCAAAGAAAGCAAAAGACTCCTAAAGTTCAAATTAGGAAATTTTGCCAACAAAAACCTTTTAAATGACCACTTTTGAGAACAATTACCATTTAAAATTTTCTTTATAAAAAACTACCACAAAGTCACAAAAACTTTGAGTAGCACTACCACGTTTTATTTTCCTGGAAGAATTTCAGGTTGAGAAAGCCTAGTTTATAAAATTTCAATCAATTATGGTATAGAAAACAAGAGATTTCAATAGCAAAACACAATTATAGGTCAATTATCTTTATTTTGCATTACAGTTTATTTAATTTCTCAATTAAATATTAAAATTAGGGTTTATGGTAAAAAAAAATAAATTAAGGGCTTTACGAAATTGGGGGATTTGGGGCAATTGAAGTGTATAATCCAATTAAGGGTTTATGTAGTGCAATATTATCATTTAATTTGGGATTTTTGATGGAAATTTTATAAAATATGCCCCAACAACGGAGATTCTTGCCGGAAATAATAAATGTGGTAGTGCTACTCAAACTTTTTGTGTTTTTGTAGTAGTTTTTTCAAAAGAAATTTTAAATGGTAATTGTTATCAAAAGTGGTCATTTAAATGGTAGTTATTCGCAAAGTTTCCTTCAAATTATTTAAGAATAATTTAAAATTAGGATTATTTAATTTTAAGGGGCAAAATTGTGATATTTTAGAGTACTTAATCAATTCAAGTTATTCAACTAGACAACATTACTTTAACACTCCAACTTTTTTAAACTCCAACTTTTTTAAACCCTAAGTGCATGTTCACTATATGTTATTCCTTTTTTTTTTTTTTTTTTTTTTTTTTTTTTTTTTGAAACACTACATGTTTTTCTTAAATCTCCATGTGGAAATATTTTGTCATTAAAAAATGAAGAGTACATGTACTCTTGGTACACTTAGAGCCTGTTCTCATTGACTGAACTTAGCTGAACTGAACTGAACGGAGCTGAACTGAACTGAACTGAATATTTTATAAGAGAAGGAAATTAGGAGCTGAACTGAACTGAACTTAATTTTAACGTAAGATAACAGACCCTTAATCCCTCCTAACTATATGTCTTGAGTAAAAAGAATTTTTAAGGTTTAGATCTTTTTTAGTGAATCAATAAGAACTAATAATTCTTTGAGTCTAATAATTTAATTTTGGCAAAGTTGGCTAGAACAGCACAAACTATCGTTTGGGTACGCTCAATAGCACAAATTTTAAGTGGAGCAAAAAAATCACAAACTTTGAGGTTGGGTGCGGTAAGTAGCACGAACTTTAAGTAAAGCGATAAACATCACAAACTTTGGATTTTGGTGCAGTAAATGACATCAGCTATTTCCAGTGTCGTGGATTCCATCGGATTTCGGACACTATTTAAAAAAATAAATAAAATTGAAGAAATAAACATGGTTATTTCCATTATTTATTGATTCCAAATCCAAAAATATATAATTTGAAGAAATAAACATACATGGTTATTTGTTCTACTATATTATTATACTACTATAAAATTCTTATAAAAGATGATGACAAAGACTATAATAATAGGGTTTTGTATGATTAACTTTGATGATTTCAAAAAAAAAAAAAAAAAAAAAACTTTGATTATTGAATTACGGTAAAAATTTTGGTTTGGTGTAATTAATTTTGACTGATTGTAAATAGGGATTTTGTTTGATTAATTTCTTATTGATTTTTAGGAGTAAATTTGGTTTTTTTTTTTGTGTAATTAATATTGATTACTTTAGGGGTAAATTTTGGGTTTTGTTTGCTGAATTATGATTGATTTAGGGGTAAATTTGGTTGCAATGCATGAAATTGATTGTACTTTTTGAGTTTTTCCTTGTTACAAAAATGATAAACTCATATGCTTAATAAATTACATAAGTTAAATAAATTAACATATTATATAATAACATGGAAAAAAAAATTTGCCTACACAAATTTCAATTACAAAGATTATAGTAGTAACGTGAGATTTTTTTTTTTTTTTTTTTTTTAAAATTTTTAATTTTTAAATAGTGGTTGAAATTCGGTGGAATGTACGACACCGGAAATAGTTGATGTCATTTACCGTACCCAAACCCCAAAGCTTGTGTTGTTAATTGCTTCACTTAAAGTTCATACTATTTACCACACTCAAACCCTAAGTTTGTGTTATATTTCGCTCCACTTAAAGTTTGTGCTATTGTGCGCACCCAAGCGACAATTTTGCCTTTGATTTTTCTTTTCCCAATTGAGTGCAAATATTTTGCAGAGTAAAAAAGGTCTTGGACTTAAGGCCTGTTTTGATTTACTGAACTGAGCTGAACTGAACTGAATTGCACTGAATATATTGGAGCTGAGCTAAATAAACTTAAGCCGAAGAGAACAAGCCCTTAATAGATAGTTTGCTTTAAATTATACTTTAAAATCTCTAGAATGATTCATTTTCAGCTTCAATATAATCTCAAAAATTCTGTACGAAGTATTATGCGCTATTTGCATTATCTCATTTTTTTTCCATAACGGTAGATTTTTCATCATTTACACTTTGTTTGGATAGGAAGAAATGGAAGGAAAAGAAGAGAAGAGAAATGGAGGGGGACAAAATCTCTTATTTGGGTAAAAGATTGGGGAAGGAAGGGGAAGGAGAGAGAGGGATCCATTTTCCCTCTCTCAACAATAACCATAATCTCTCCAAAATTGGAGAGATTTGGAGGGAAAATGGAGCTCACCTTCCCCTCCCTTTCTTTTCCCTTCCCTTCCCTTCCTCCATTTTCCCTCCCCTTCTTTTCCTTCCTTCTTTGCTATCCAAACAAAGCGTTAAAGTCATTATAAATATATAAAACAAATCAAAACCAACCAGGTATAATCATAGCATAATCAATTCAATCTTCCATTCATGTTTTTTTTTAAAAGAAAAAAAATTGGTCTCTAGTCCAATTTATATTAGTTTGATCTTAGACCAGTAAATAACCCATAGTAACATAAATAAGTTTCCAGCTTTTAGTTCAGTTCAGTTCAGTTCGGTTTAGTTTAACCCTAAAGTCTTGGACAAGTAAACAACCCTTAGTAACTAATTCGCCCATAAAACCATTCAATAGGGGTCTGATCGTCCGAATAAGGTCCTGTTCACTACACCTTATAAAAAAAAAATATTTAGTAATAAAATAATTTCAATTCAGCAAAATTAATTTAAGTTCAATAAAAATTAGTTCAGTTTAGCAAAAATAATTTCAGTTCAATAAAAATAATTTCAATTATGTAAAAATCCGTAAACTTAAAGAAAGTAATATAATACGGAGTATCAATTTTAGCAAAAAAATTCAGCAAAAATAAGGTGAACTGAATGAGAGCCTAAAGTAAGAAATAGTCATAAACTATGGACCCTTGACCCAATAAAAGTACCAGTAATCCACTATATACTTTCATGCATAAGTCTCCCTCCCAAATATGAAATACCCTATAACAACATAGTATCATAAAAAGACGCCGAGTACTTGATCGACTTAGCTTAAGTTTTTCACCCTCTCTTCTGACACTCACTTCCAACGTTCACTCTTTTCTTACACTGAACTAGAAACCCTTCTCCTTTTTTCTTGGGATTTTCCTCTTCAAATTATCAAATGAATCAAAACCCAGATTTTATTTGCTTCCAATTTTTGTTACTACCCAAGAATTTACTTCCTCTGAAATAATACCCAACTCAAATCTTTTCTGATTTTTCAAACCCTTTTCTGGGTATCCTCTGTTCCTCCCGTTAGAGCCAAGAATTTCATTCTGATCTTTCTGAAAAATTAATCACTTTGTTTAATTTTTCTGAGTTATTTTTGATTCCAAGAACTTCAAAAATGAAGAAGAAAGATATCAAAAAGAAGTCTTTACAGAAAATCAGAGCAAAAGAAGGGTTTGTCAGAGATCAACTTTTACCCTTAAATTCATCAAAAAATTCAGAAAATATACACAAAATTCAACTGGGTATTGGAAAAAATCATCATTTGAGTAGTAAATTGCGAGAATTTTCCATAAAATCTTCGTGGGTATCTTCTGAAATGTACAACAATGGCAGAAAATTCGTCTGCAAATTATGTGGAAAAGGGTTTAAGTCTGCTAGAGCTGTGTTTGGGCATTTGAGATGTCATTCAAAGAGAAAATCTGAGGCTGAATTTGAGGATTGTTCTGTCAATGAGGGATTGTTGGAGCAAGAACTAATGAAGCAGCCGGAGACGCCTCGAAAGAAAAGATCAGGAAGAAGGTATACAGATAAAACTAATTGCTCTAATAGCACTTCTTGGTGTAGTTTGTATGGCTCAAATTCTGCTGTTACTGATGATGAAGAATTATTAGATATTGCTGCTTCTTTGTTGATGCTTTCTAAGGGTGCGTTTTATTCTGTTGATCATGTTTCTGATAATAATGATGCTTCAGTAAAAATAGAACCTAGATTGCCTATTAACTCTGTTAGTAATGATGATAATGGTGATGATCATGTGGCCGAGTGCGCTGCTGCTGTTGATTTAGGGTCATATGTTGATGTTTTGAGAAGTGGGGGTGATTCTGTAAATGAGAACAGAAAAGAATTTCAGGGTTTTGATTGTGGGTTGTCTTTGAATCAGCCTGAGAATATTGAACATGGACCTGTTTCTGATGTTGAGATTCAATCTGATATGCTGCTGTATGATGCTGGAATTAAGGATGGGACTATTGGGGTTCTTGTGGATGGAACATTGTTTAGTAATTCGAATGCTATTACATGTGTTCCTGCTGCTGAAGAAACGAAGTATGAGTCTGTCGATGTTAGTGATCGAATGTATGATGAGTCGAATTTAAGAATTTGTGGTCCAACAAATCATGATCATGTTGGAAGTGGACCTAGTGTTCATAATGAGCAGGAATCTGTGTTGTTTGATGCCAAAATCAGTGATGATACTAGAGGGGTTTTGGAAGCAGATACAATGGTTGATAAATTGAGTCCAAATTGCAGTGATCCTGTGATTGAAGAAAAGAAGCATGAGGATGTAGGAGTTGCTGATCAAACACCTGATAAATGTAATTCAAGAGCTAGTGAATCAGCAATGGAAAATTCTTCCTCCGAAAAGTGCCAGAAGCATATCTGCAGTATCTGCAGCAAGAGTTTCCTGTCATATCAGTCTTTGGGAGGCCATCGTTTGCACTGTCAGAGGCTTTGTTGTTTGGAAAGCCAAGCACACATGAATGCAAACACCAGTACTGACATTACTCTTGGTGAGAAAGATGGTGTCGAAGATGGGGATAACAAAATGAAGAAGAGATGGAACCATGACAATGATAAGAAGAAGAGATGGAAGAAGCACAAATGTCTGATGTGTGACAAAGATTTCCGTTCAGGCCAAGCTTTGGGTGGACATATGAGGGCTCATTATCAGAGCAAAGATCAGGCCAGCGAGGCAGAGAATGTGGCTTGTGACAAAGAAAACTTGGCAGATATCGAAGAAGATAGAAAAGAAGAGAATGATGCCTACGATGATAAAATCCTAGCAGCAGTCAGAGATCTAAGAAAGCAAGAGAATGATGTTTGCTCCAACAAAATTCAGCTGTCATTAAAGGAAAGACAAATGATCATCGTGCCCCAAGGCAACATACCCTTGATGGTCTAGTTTTAATAATTGTGAGACTGATTTCTACCAACATTGTTTTTGTAAAGATAGGAGGAGGCGAGGCACTGCTAGTTGCTTAGGTTCTGACTGTTTTAGTGGAACACTTTGTTCTAAATTGTCTCCTTTTTGTCTCGTTATAGTCTTGCTTTTCTGATTAGCAATTCAAATTTATCCAAAATTGAGAAACTATATTGGTGAATTCTTCTCATTTGTAGTTAAATGTTGCTGTAACATCTGGTTGACGGCTATGTGATGTAGTTTGATGAGCTAGACTCTTAAATGAAAGTTTTCTGTTTATTAGTTACCTGATGAACTTTTTTGGTTATTGCATTTTGTTGGTCCTGCAATTTCTTGTGTATCTACAGTATTTGTACCTTTTTTTTTGACAGAGGGCAAAAGAAATCAAAAGTGATTTCCTGCAAGACCTTTGCTTCTTTAGTAATTAAAGCTTGCAAATATTTCGGATACAGTTAACAGTTATAACAGTGGAATTTGGAGTGTGACTACCAATTAAGGTCCAGGCATTTCTGCAAAGAGTAGGAGGCTGATCACTTCCATCTAGCATTGCAGCCACATCTGTCATCTGGTTTGGTGTTGGCAGTTAGGTGCAGCATTCGTTCCATTCTGAATAGCCCAATCTCAGCCGTGTTTAATACTTTTCAGAATAGCCTGGAGATTGCTCCGTGCATTTAGCATTAGCTTTTTTGAGACCGTGTTATTTCCTTCTTCCCGTGCTTCCATTGCTTCATTCACTGGAAGAAATCAAACTGATGGTGCTACCTAGGTTTGGTGAAACAATGATATGATGATATTGGTCTTGTGAATTGTAGCTTCGAAACTAGAATCTGCTTCAAGATATTCTAGTTGAGCATTTCTGCGCGAGTTCAGATGATTAACATGTATAACAGTAGTAGTCCTCGGCCAAATTAATGAAATTTTAGTGTTACCTTGAGTTTTGTTGAAAATCTTTGAGATACTCGTACACCAAATTGCTTAAAGATTAGTCCTTGTCAAAATTTTCCTTATTTTTGTTTATGACTATATGTACGTAATGCATTTGGTACTCGACAAAAGAGTATTTGTTACCATATTAATGGCTTCATGAGTACCAATCAAGCTAAGACTAAATAAAGTGTATTGTACTAACTAAAAGTACAAAACTTCATAATCTATAAGTCCTCCGTTAGTATTTTTTGTACTATTCACTTGACTTACTTTGACTAATGTTGCCTTGTGAATAATTACCTATGCACCGTATCAAACAATTCTATAAAAACAATCAAATTTACAATCAACAACAATAAATAATGTAGGTACTAAGTAACGTAAATTGGTTATCACCTTAACCAAGCGAAAATCAATAATAAAAACCCATCAAAACAAATATACCTAATGTCAGTGATTTTGACTTTCTTCCTCCTTCACTTAAGCACATCATCATGATCTCTTTATGAACAAAAATAACCCTAATTTTTTTTTTTTTTGAAATAGAAATAGACCCTAATTTACTAATACTAATATATCAATAAAAACACATGAGGCTAAGTTTATGTCCGAAACAACTTATAAATTTATAGATTAAGTAGTTATCATATGACAAAAGCTAACGAGCTCCCTCGAGGCATTAGATAATAATAGAAGTAAAATTAGTGATGTAAAATTAACATTAACTCCATCGATCAACGTGTAATGTTGTCACACATTGCTAAATTACGAGTAGTAATCTGTACTATTTTAATACAGAGTAATAATTTAGGATTTCATTAAGACAAGGATTTCAATTACTTATTACGAGTACATATTTACCCCTAATTTGATTGCGGAATTACCAATATATCCCTTAATACACCAACTACTCGTATCAGACTATCAGTCATATCCTATATATAAAGTGAAAGAACCTTTTGAATGATAAATTTAACTATCCCTAAATTATCCTTCTCAAGTTGCAAAATTACCAAAAAAAAAATAAAAAAATAAAAATCCTATCATAACTACCCAATAATAACCGCTTCCTTCCTTCCACATAAATTTATATATTAAACGTTCTCACTTCCCATAAAATATAAAATCACTTTATTTTTTTTTTCATCTAATTTCTTATATTGTACCTCTTAACTTGTGTATATAACGCTAATCGATTTTCTTGTATTTCCACTTTTGTTGTGGCAGACAAATAGTAGTATTGAGAATTGAGAAAGATGTTAATATTCCGGAGTCTGCTGCATCCTTTACCTCTTCCTACTCCGCTCTTTTTTGCTCGCCAAAACCCCTTCAACTTGTCATTTCCGTGTTTGTGGATAAGAAAACAATCTCAGGCATTCTCACTTCAAGGTAGAACACTATCATCATCGTCTTCAACCAATGTTTCCTCTGATTTTGTCCCCAATCTTTCTGGTAAAACTTCTACTTTCTTTCCTCCCTTTCGATTTATCAGTTATTTGTTCAACATTAATGCACTTTTATTTTGTTTTGTTTGTTGTTTCGTCTTATATTGTTGTACTTTTGATTTTTTGAACTGGGTGTTTCGGGTAATCATAGTCTGTTATGTGTTTGTGAAATACTTAATCCGTTCTTTTTTAATTGCACTGGAATTTTGCACTATTTATACATACTCATTTGACCCTCTTTTGTGATTTATACATTAATTATATAATAGTCACTTGAAATCTTGTTATTTGTTAATTCGTCTCAATTTATACCTTCTAAATACTCGTATCATTTTTCTTACAGAACTTTTTATTATTTCAATTAACATATAATCAGAGATATTAATCATACAAAATGTTTATTGGTAAGTACGAAATTTCCAATGTGACAATTTTAAAAAAAAAAATCGAGGAATTATTATCTATGGAGTATTTATTTCTTGCAATAGTATGATTGGTTTTAGTTGTATTGTTTTAGAGTGTTCTTGAGATTGAGACTAATAATTACACTGATAATTTTATTTTTAATGAGTCACAATGATATATGGTATAGATGAGATTTGATCTCAGATACAGCCCCCAAGACTTTACCAACTAAACTAGATGACATCCATAGGAGTGAATGGATTGTAAACACCAAACTTATAAACTTTTTGCTCCATGTTGCAGAAGTCAAATTTTCATTAAAACTTCATTAGGCTATTCTAATGGTTCAGGGGCTGTCTAACTGTCTATTTGCCTATTCGTCTAATTTAAGTTGTATCTACCGTTACTAAGATTTTGTTTATTTTCAAACATGCTCTCTTTTGAGGCCTTGCTTATGTGTTTTGGGTGGAGTTCTGATGCTATAAGCAAATTATATTCAAAACTTTGCCAACTTTAAATTAAACTCGGTGTAAGTTGATTTGTACTTCGTAATATGTTTGAATAAAAGAGGCTTACAATGGCTAATCAGCAATTGGAACTAAGAAAAATGTAGAGGATATAACTTGATGGCTTAGTATCTTGAAAAAATTTGTGAGAACATGTCAAAGCCAAGTAATAGATGTCGTGATTAGTCTCACAAAAAGAAATAAAGAATTGATACCCTTTAGGTAACATTCCTTGCAGTGGCGGAGCCAGGATTTATAATTCGGGGGGACAAATTTTGGAGGTTAAAGTTTCGGCAAAAATCTCAAGAAAAAAATTGATCACCTAAATTGTTTAATATTTATTTGAAATCACATATGCCAATTATTTCTATATGGCAAAAGAGGAATAAAAAAGTTTTATTGTATATTAAGAAAATTATCCAACAAAAATGAATAAATTTATGTTTGTAAATCCCGTTATGTAATCACATAATTGATATATACGAATTAATTACCTTATCATAAAGTCAAATAATTATCGTTAGAACAAATTGATGGTAGATATGAAGGGTCTGGGTTTGAGTTACATTCGAAAAAATAAACTCAACTTTCTCAAATCAATCATATTATTACATATGTATTTCGTATGTATTAATAAAAGTTAAAACACAGTTACAAACAATTAATTAATAGTAATCTATTTATTAGAAATGTAAAAAAATAGAGTTTAAGCACATAATAAAATTAAAAATCCTAAAACAAGAAATAGGAAATGAAAAATAAAATTAAAAAGACTATTGAAAATTAGAGTAATCAAAAAACAAGTAGGGGAAAAAAAACAAAAAAGCTGAAAAATAGTAGAGTAGGGAATCGAACCTAAGACCAAGGCACAGCCTTACTAAGGACTCAACCACCAAACCATATTCAATATTGTGATATTTACTGTAAGTATATGATATTTATAGCCTTTTACTGTATTTTCTTGATTTTTTTTTTTTAAAAAAAAAAAACTTTTTTTTCGAAAATGGGGGGACAACTGTCCCCCCTTGTTCTAATGTGGCTCCGCCATTGATTCCTTGTATCCCCAATAGAATTTTCACTTGTTGGGAACACTAAAATGTTAGCTTTAAATGTTAACGTCCTTACTTTTTTGAACACTTGAAATACAATCTGCCAGGAGAATTCTATACTAATATGGGATTGGTATGAGGTTCCATACCAAGCTATTCTAGTTTAGTGAACCAAACGGCCCCATATACTATTAAGAGAACAAATTTGATAACTGTAATGAGACATGTCAATTTGATTTTTTAAAAATTTTAATGGAAATGAGCATTATAAGTGTGTTAACACTTTTACAAGATGATGAGCTACCGTTAGTCATAGACACAAGTTAAAGTTATTGCTAGTAGAGAACTTTGGATTAATGTTGTTATTTCTTCCTTGATTTTCTTGACTCTTTCGATCTTCCCTAGTCCCCACAATGTCATATATTTCCCTTGATCTTGCGTCATATGCTATTTATGTTGAATGGTATTCAATGATTCCTTGCAGAGTTAGATGATGTTTTGAAGGGCTATATGTTTGGCCAGAAAAAGGCAACTGAAGTTGCTCATTTGTAGGTATTTGACCTAAGTTCTGTTACCCATGCTTCTACACCTATGCCAAAGACAATTTTGATTTTTACAACCTCCAAAAAACGACTTATTTGCTTTTACAACCTACATAAAAAAAGGTTTTATTTTACCACCTCATTAAAAAATGAAAGTTGACTTTTACCACCAATCACCTCCAACTAACGGATTCCGTTTATAAATCCGTTAGTGGGGCCTACCATATACACATGTTACCATATTATTGGTAAAAAAAGAAACCCAGCCACCAACCGATATCTAGCCACCGCCGGATCGACTACCAGCCCCACCACTGGACCGGCTACCATCCCCACCACCGGACCGGCTACCAACCCCACCACCAACTCGCAACACAACAGCAACCGCCCACCGCACAGCCACAGCCACAACCACCACACAATGCACACAAACACCGCACAGCCACCGTACCCACAACGCACTAGCCACCGCACCCACAATGCACCTGCCACCGCACCGCACAACAAACACCCATAAAGCCCCCTCCTACCGGATTCTGACCACTCATAAAACTCTAGCCACCACCAAATTTTGCACTCTCCTAAACCTTAACCACCACCTAATTCCGACCTCCTCCTTAGCCAACACCAAATTCCGATCGTCCCTACCCCACTCAAAATTCCAACCAACTGAGGTGAGTTGATTCTGCTGCCGGCTGGTTGACATGGAAGATCGGGGGAGATGAAGAGGAAACGTCAAAAAGGTGGGCCCTACTAACGGATTCATGGACGGAATCCGTTAGTTGGTGGTGAAATCCAATTTTTGGAAATTTTGTTGGTGGTAAAATATATATATATATATATATATATATATATATATATATATATATATATATATATATTTTATGTGGGTAGTAAAAGCAAATAAGTCGTTTTTGAAGGTGGTAAAAATCAAAATTTCCTAAAAAATATATAATATTTTTCGTCACTTCTGAAATGTATATCGTGTAAGCTTTCAAATACCAATTTTAGGCTATAATTTCATTAGTGAACTTTGGGACCTCTTATTGAGAGTGTGTGCTTTCATTTTTTTGCTGAACTATGACCATTTATATTTTTCATGTGCTAATATATCATCTTAAAATAGGATATGGAAACTCGTGGTTCAAAAGGGTGATTCTGTTGTTGATGCTACTTGTGGTAATGGCAATGATACCCTGGCATTGGCCAAGTTGGTGGTAGATGATGAAGCTAAAGGGTGTGTATATGGGATGGATATTCAGGAAGATGCTATACAGAATACTTCATCCTTACTTGACCAATCACTTGATCCAAACCAGGTATGATTACATTGCTTTGGTTGCTTTCATTTGCTCTTTTCTTGTTGATTGCAAACTATAAGCACCTCCTCATTAGTGCAGTTGTCTACAATTTAAACTCTTATCTTGGGTAGTGCTAGCTGTCATTAGAGAAAATCATTATATTTCTTTTAATTTTCTCTCTATACTCATTTTATTTGTAGTTTGAACTTGTATCAGCTGTTTGATAGGAAACTAAACCTACTTTTTTCCTTGTCATTGGTTTGATATAGATTGTGTTCATCTGATTTACACACAGCAAAGTTCTAGTCCTTGATTCTAATTATGTCCAGTAGAAAGCCAGAAAGAAGCTTGTCATTAATGCAAATGAAGCTTGTCATTAATCCAATTTATATAGTGCTTATTAAGTGTTGGTTTAGTTTATGTATGTGCCTTTCATGTTTGCTTCTGCTTCATATGCATTATTAAATGCTGTTCAGTTATCACGAGAACTGCTATAGCATTGTGATATTCACTCAATCCTTTATGCAGAGAAGATATGTGAAGCTATTTTCAACTTGTCACAGTAGAATGGTGGATGTGCTTCCTAAGAATATCTCTGTGAGGTAGTCTCTGCAGACAGTATGCATTTATGTTTTGTATTAGTCAAAATCGATGTTCAAATATTGAAACTATATATTCAGCTCTCCATCTCGTACTTATATTAATAATTAATTACCATTTATGTTAACGTGATATTTTTGTATTACTAGCCACATCAATTAATGTAATACTTTGTGCATGTTAGAAATGGCCTGGCTGGCATATTGTTAAAATTATCATCTTCTTTTCTTTTCTTTTTTCACTTTTTTTTTTATTTTTTCTTTTTTCTTTTTTCTTTTTTTAATTATTATTATTTATTTCTTTTTTTTAATAAAATTGCCAATGAAGATTGGAGCTCTTACTAAACAATGCTTGAATGGCTTTGTACTTTACTTTAGGCTTGTTGCATTCAATTTGGGCTACCTTCCTGGAGGTGACAAGGGATTAATCACAAATTCAGCCACAACCTTGCTAGCACTCAAGGCAGCAAAGGAATTATTACTTCCTGGAGGAATTATTAGTGTTGTTGCTTATGTTGGACACCCTGGTGGAAGGTAATGCTTCTATTAGTAATTTTAACTTTTTAAGTGATAAAGGGTGGAAAATGGAGCAACCTATGGCAATTCTAAGTGTTTTTGTTGAACTACTACGAACACTTAATATTTTTATGATGTTGTTTCAAAGTGCCTCTTCAGAAACCTTTTTGTTATTTGTCAACCCGTTGCCATTCTAAATTAAAATAATTTGTATTTATTTTATCTTATATGGAGTACGTATTTATGTAGTATCTGGTTAGATTCAACCCAATCCAAACTCAATCCAAATGGCCCTTTTGCCACCTCTAGATTTAGCTCTTTTCACTTTACACTTGGAAATCTCCATCTTATCACGGAATGTCACTAGTACAGCAAATTGCTAGTTTCATTTTGGTTGCCATTTGAGATGCTACCCCACTGGCTCATTTACTTGTCTCAGCTTTCGGACTAGGGTCGTCCTCTCTGTCATTGCAAGAGTAAGTCTATATCTGTCCAACACTTACCTTGCTCATATGCTTTTGAGAAGCTATAGACCATAATTATCTACTCTCTTCATCTATTGCCTTCCATGTGCTGCATATCCAAATCACCCACGATTGGATTTTCCTGTACCGTTATTATTAATAAAAGCATTTGATTTGAGTCTACCTTCTCGGTTTTGTATTCATTCAGTGTAATTGAAAGCATTTGATCTGCATCTGCATTCAAATATTTCTGTTGAAGATAACACAACAATTCGCAAAGCTTTGTTCCATAATAAACCGTGAAGTATTAACGTCCATGTCAAGTATCGATTAGTTGACCCAAGTATAGAATGTAGCCTCAGCCATATTGTGAAATGGTTTGTACTTATTTGTTCCAAAAATAACTACCAAATGTCAATTTCCAATAATGTTAATTATTTGACCCAAGTACTTGAGCAATGAAGAATCAAAACAACACAGACTCTGCGCTTGATTGTTTGTTCAATACTTGTAACTACTATAGTTGTTGCCGTGTCCCTTTCCTTTTCGCTTTTTAAAGCTTCCTAACCATCAGTATCGATGCCTAGTTTCTTTACTATACAATTACACTTCATCTGTTATTGCTAATATATTCATCAATGGAAGCCATTTTGCCTCTTCAAAGTTACTTTCGACAGATTAGTATACATTTACAAATACATGTAATCTCATATTATTGTTTTTTTTCTCTTCTATTCAGGGAAGAATATGAAATTGTCCGCTCGTTTGCAGCTGAGTTACCAGCAGATAAATGGGTCTGCAGCCACATTCAGATGTTGAACAAACCACTTGCACCGGTTCTTGTATTTTTGTTCAAGAGATGAAAAATAATTATTGTTAGTTAAGACTTTTTTAAATATATGAGAACTCCACTTTTGGCAACTGGTCAGATTTTGAATGCTTTTATCATTTGATAGAACTCTTCTACTCATTTTGCTATAATCAATACTTTTTCTCTGTTTAGAGCTGCAAATCATCCGATTGGGTAGTTATATACTAATGAGATAAACAAATTATGTTGTCATATTTTCGTAATTTTTTTTTTTTTTTTTTTTTTTTAATTTATAGATTATGCATTCAACCCATTTATATAAATATGACAACCTAACGAGCACGCTGCTGCTGTTAAATCAGGGTTATATGTTGATGTTTTGAGTAGTGGGGGTGATTCTGTAAATGAGAACAGAAAAGATTTTCAGGGTTTTGATTGTGGGTTGTCTTTGAATCAGCCTGAGAATATTGAACATGGACCTGTTTCTGATGTTGAGGTTCAGTCTGATATTCTGCTGTATGATGCTGGAATTAAGGATGGTGTTATTGTTTAGTAATTCGAATGCTATTACTTGTGTTCCTGCTGCTGAAGAAACAAAGTATGGGTCTGTCGATGTTAATGATCAAATGTATGATGAGTCGATTTTAAGAATTTGTGGTCCAATATATCAAGATAATGTTGGAATTGAACCTAGTGTTCATATTAAGCGAGAATCTGTGTTGTTTGATGCCAAAATCAATGATGAGACTAGTGTGGTTTCAGAAGAAGATAAAATGGTTGATAAGTTGAGTCCAAAGTGCACTAATCCTGTGATTAAAGAAAATAACCATGAGAATGTGGGAGTTGCTTATCAAATTGATAAATGTAAATCAAGGGCTAGTGACTCAGCAATGGAAGCTTCTTCCTCCGAAGAGTGCCAGAAGAATGTCTACAGTATCTGCAACAAGAGTTTCCTGTCATATCAGTCTTTGGGAGGCCATCATTTGCATTGTCAGAGGCTTTGTCGTTTGGAAAACAAGCACACATGAATGCAAACATCAGTACTGACATTACTCTTGGTGAGTGTAGACACCCATTTGTGTCTCCCCAAAAACAAACCCGGTGATGAGTACCTTTCACGTCGAATCATAATCGAATGAGGTGAAAGTGTGGAAAGTCTAGTGTTGCGGTTTAGTTTTAATTCTTTTCTTTCTCTCTATTTTGAAAACTTATTTTAAGAAAGCAGCCAATCTAGTTTGGTTTGGTCCATGGCAAGGGTCCAATAATAGCGTAGTTGGATGGGGTTTGAAAAGAGCTTTCCAACGATATATTATAAGCCCAATTCCGATGAATAATGAGAAAGTTATAGTCAAATTACTAAAATGGGCCCGGTTTGATTTTTATTTGCGGCCCAATGATTTAGAGGAGGGCCTAATATTGATTTATCATTCCTAATGCAATTAGAATTGATTTTAGTCTTCTAGATTCTTCTAGAAGGTTCTTTTCATTCCTAATTTAATTAGCATTGATAAATTGAGTTTAGTTGACTTTTTAGAGTTTTAATCTGAATAAAAGAAGTGTTTTTAAGGAAAATACGATTTTACTCTTCTGTACGGCTAAATTTTATCAAAATTAAGAAAACGCGTGAAGCTGGTGTCTAGCGTCTGACGACAGGATTAGCGCCTGGCGCTAATGCTTGGCGTCTGGCGCTAGCCTTATCGCTTGGCGCTAATGTCCAGCGTCGGGCGCTAATCTGTTTTATTCTCTTCGAAACTCTGATTTGTTTTTCTATCCGTCTGGCTGATTTTCTCTATAAATAGCCTCCTAAAACCTCCGTTTTCGATCATCAATTCTCATCAAGAATCATCAACAACTATTAATTTTCTTATTCTCTCTAGTTTTCAAGATATCTCTCTCTTTTCTCTCTCTAGCTTTTGTAAATAAAATTCCGCATTCACAAGATCTAGAAACACCTAGCCAAGTTCGAAATTGCCTTCGCCCTAGATGAGAAAGGTTTTAATTTCTGAGGGTTTGGTCCCAAATTTCTCTTTCAATTATTTAATTTAATTATTTATTTTATATTTTCCTTGAAGTTACTAACGCGTGTATTTTGTTATTAGAAAGAGATACAGGCATCCAAGTAAGTGCTTTAATTGTTTTATTGTTATTATGATATAGAAATCATGTCTAGGTTGTTATTTTGATTTCTAGTATCATGTTAGGATGCTTGATGTTTTGAATGACAACAATGATTCCTAGTATCATGTTTAGGGTAATAACTATAATTTCTAATATCAAATATGCTTATTATGATTATTGTGATGCTTCATATTTTCTTTCCTAATATTCATGTTAGGGTTAAAGCTTTGATTTTTATTGTTTAGTGACATGCTAGGGTTTGTTATTAATCTTGTTAGTGTCATGTCTAGGATCTTGCTATTAATATTATGCTTTAACATGATTTTAATTATGATTATGATTATTATTATTGTTGCTTGATTATATATTTATTGTTATTTGATTATTATGATTAATATTATTCTTTAACATGATTTTATGCCTGTTTAAAGGGAATTGGTACTTGTATTCACGCTTAATAAGATAATTAATAATCTTGTTTAGGGTTAATTTGATTATAATTCAAGTGATCGCCAATAATAGTTTTATTTGTGCATTAATATTCAACCAAAATAGATTAAACAGGTTTAGGGTAAACCTATTGACTGCATGTTAGTCAAAAAGCGCACATGAATACGATCAGAATAAAGTAGAGGCCTATTATTAGGGCAGGTTCAATCTTTTTTAGGTTGGATTTGTACCTTCATCCCCGAACTTCCAGTCTTGGTTCCACACCTATTAGAGTTAACGATCTCCTGGATCGTTAAGGGGTGCAACCTTCACCTCGTGAACGGTTTACAAGTTCCTAAAACTTGTTGGCGACTCTTTTGCTCTATCTTCTTTCCCTTTGGACGCCACCGTACTTTAGTGTATGATCACAGTGGGGTTCAATCTAGGGATAATACTTGAAATATTCCCTACAGTTTTTGGCGATTCCACTGGGGAGGATTTCTATTTTAATTCCTGAAATTTATTTCGACAATGATTTAGAATGAGTGGATGAGACTCGAAAATCATGTGCGTAATTTTGATTAACATTATTGTCATATGCATAAAAAAGATCTCAAGGGAAAGACCATCCGTAATGAGTTAAAAACATAGGATTTTTACACGTAGGAATTTTGAGGAATATCTTTCACAACTAGGATCGAAATAATGCTGCACGAAACTGGAAAATTTTATCGAGCACAGAAAGCTGCTGAGGCATGTAGGAACTAGCGTAAGCAAATAGAGTCTAGCGCCGATGCTTTGACTCTGGCGCCAGGCGCCAGATCCAGATCACGGCGCCGGCCTCTGTTTGCTGGTGCCAAGTTCTTCCAATACCGAGCCAGAAATATGCGTTCTAATTTTGACCATTTTTTAGCACTGTTTGCTCGATCGTACTTCCTGATTGAGTTTTTCTCACTTTTCTGAAACCCATATGTGTTCTACATATGGACATAACCATCTGGGAATTCATGCTCCATTTACCTGATTGAACGTTATGTGCAACAAAGGGTACATCCGAGAATGTTGAATTCACCAAACCATGGAAGCGAGTTTTTTAACTCGCGATGTCCCATCCACTCGAGCCAACCCTTCACGGTTAGGTTTCCGCGTGGTGCATCCAGACAATTAACCATGGACCCTCTTTGACTAACCCATATCCCGAACTTTAGAGAACTAGAGCCATGGTTAGGTTGCAAACTCATTGCATCATATTATGCCTACTTGACTAATTGTGCATTATTTGTTGTGCATACTCTATGTGTTTTTTCTTAACCGTTTTTTTTGACTTGTGTTGAGACTAAATAAACTGATTAATGAATAAAAGAACTTTGCATAATTAATTAATTAATTAATTTGAGTAATCAAAGTCTAATAATTTAATCAGAGTTGACTTAGTACGACTTTAGGCATACCCCGTAGAGTAATAATACCGAACGCAGTCCCGGATCAACGTTCTAGCAATGGCGCCGAGATTAAGACTGCAGCGCCACTCTGTGGATTGCAGCGCTTGGCGACAGTTCTGTCGTCTGGCGCTACGCTTCACAGTGCGGCGCCAGTCTTGTTGTTTTGAAGACAGTTCGGTTTATTGCTCGAGTCATCACTTGGTGTCTAATTGAACAGTTTGCTAATCAATTCGATTAATTTTTATTAATACCTTGTTAAGTCCTTAATCGAGTCTGGGTACTAAGTCCCATGGTCTTACACAAGAGTCAAAGCATGTCACTTGAACTCACCATATAAATTACACACTAATATGTTTGCACACTTTGACCATGTCTAAGAGAGTCTTGTATGCGCGTGTTTTTCCGTCATTTTTTAGGGGGGTAAGTCGGATTTTAATCCTCCAATTAAACCACTTTTTTGAACCCAAAACCTGATTCCCAAAAATATACACCATATTGTAGGCGTCGTTCAAAGTGCGCCTACGTTAAAGCATGTTGTGAATATGCTTGGCACTCATAGGAAGTGGGAATTGACATATATGATTAGGGACAAGGAAAGTAGGGAGCCGCCAACAAGTTTTTAAGGAACTTGTAAACCGTTCACGGATTATAAAAGGTAACCACGATTAAGGGACAACGATAGGCAACAAAGATTAACCCGTGAAGGTTACACCCCATTCATAATCCATGAGATTACTAACTCCATATGGTTTGGAACCACGAAAGGAGGATCGGGGATGATGGTACGAAGTGAGTCATGGAGTCACATTCGCCCGTATTGGCCTCTACTCGATTCTTATAGTGAAAAGTGATTCCTGCGATCTCAAAGGCATACAAACAAAAATTCAATTTGCTCCAAACTATTATTAAGCTAAATTGGTTTAATATTAATACAACACATAATTCTAAAATATTGTGATCACTTGATTAAATAATAAGATTAAAAAGGAACCTAAACCGGTTGTCCAAATTATCTTATTAGGCGTGATTTTTAATTATATATTCCCTTTAAACATGCAATATGGTGATCAAAATAATAATAGAATAACATCAATATTGGAAGCAATTTAACAAATACAGCGTTAGTCAAATCAAATATAAAATAACCTAATCATGATACTAGCAATATAAAATAAAATAAGAGTAATTAATTTAATTAATTACTTACATTCA